CCCTGGCATGTGCCCTGGCCGGGAATCAAACCAGCAACTTCTTGGTGCACTGCACGACAGCCAACCAACTGAGCCACACCAGCCAGGGCATCACTTATCCTTTTATTAACTCTTGCCAGCTACCTCGGAGGGGCTAGTGGAGAGGACCTCTATACCTGTGTTCAATGGAGGAAAATAGCATTGGCAATAGCCACCTAGGCCTGAGAAGGCAGAGGAAGGCTTCCCTGAGGAGGAGAAACTTGAATGGGGGAGGGGGTGCTCAATTAGCGGGTAAGCAAGGTCCAGGTGGAATCCAGTCACAACAAATCTTTATCAAGAAAATGTTTAAAGTACAGCTAGTAATTTGTGTTCAGTCTAAGGCAGCGGTTCTCAACCTGTGGGTCTCGACCCCTTTGGCGGTCGAACGACCCTTTCACAGGGGTCGCCTAAGACCATCGGAAAACACATATATAATTACATATTGTTTTTGTGATTAATCACTGTGCTTTAATTATGTTCAATTTGTAACAATGAAATTGGGGGTCACCACAACATGAGGAACTGTATTAAAGGGTCACGGCATTAGGAAGGTTGAGAACCACTGGTCTAAGGGGATATAGGTGAGGTGAGGAAGAGGGAGGGATGAGTAACAGGTGAGGTTGGAAAGACAAGTTGGGAGCAGTAGTCATTTGAATGAGTTTAGACTTTATCCTAAATGCAATATGAAATCGTCATGGGATTTCAACTGGGCGTTGATGACTGGATTTGCATTTTAGAAAAGTCTACCTGTAGTATGTAGGATAAATTGAAGGAGGAAAGAGTAGAAGTAGGGGAGATTTGGAAGGAGGAAACAGGAAGGCCAAAATAAAGTAACTGATTCCAGGTCTGTGCCTAGGGCTGTGAAATGCCATGGCTCTGATGCAGACTAGAGATTTCACTGTGCCAGAAGGAGGCTGAGGGGGAGGATTACAAGACTTGGGCCTATGTTCAAAACCCGTCTTTGCCTCTTTCTAGCCATAGACCTTGACTTCTTCTGAAACTCACTTTAAAAGATTGACAACAAGCTCTGGCTGAATAGCTTAATTAGTTAGTGGTTCTCAACCTTCTGGCCCTTTAAATATAGTTCCCTCATGTTGTGACCCACCCATAAAATTATTTTCGTTGCTACTTCATAACTGTAATGTTGCTACTGTTATGGATCGTAATGTAAATATCTGATATGCAGGATGGTCTTAGGCGACCCCTGTGAAAGGGTCGTTCGATCCCCAAAGGGGTCGCGACCCACAGGTTGAGAACCGCTGATAGAGTGTCATCCCGATACACCAAGGTTATGAATTCAATCCTTGGTCAGGAATCAATCCATTGAATGCATAAATAAGTGGAACAACAGATATCTCTCTCTCTCTCTCTCTCTCTCTCTCTCTCTCAAATAAAAATAAAAATGAGAACAGTAATTCCTCCAGTGAAGGAAAAACTGAGATGGTATATGAATAGGGCTGAACCTAAAGGCGACAATTAGGTGAATGTTAGTTTTCTTCCTGCTTCCAATCCAGGACTCTCCTCATCCCTGGGGGCTCCCCTGGAGAGAAAAATGCCAATCTCATTAACAATGGCTCCTGAACATGTTTCACAAACACCAGCTAGGACAATTGAAAATAGGCCTGGGGATGTTGGGGATACTTTGGGGTGACAGACCAAAAGGGACATCTAAGATGTGGATAGCATTCCAGGATAACTTAGAGCAGTGGTTCTCAACGTGTGGGTCGAGACCCCTTTGGCAGTCGAATGACCCTTTCACAGGGGTCACCTAAGACCATCGGAAAACACATATATAATTACATATTGTCTTTGTGATTAATCACTATGCTTTAATTATGTTCAATTTGTAACAATGAAATTGGGGGTCACCACAACATGAGAAACTATATTAAAGGGTCACGGCATTAGGAAGGTTGAGAACCACTGACTTAGAGCCAAGTGGAGAATGACACGGGTTCTTCTAAGGGACAAGAGTAAGATATATAGGAGCCAGAACCTGTGACAACCCTGGGACAGGTCCTCAGATTCAGGAGAGAGCATTCTAAAGCTGTATCTACTACAAATTAACTTCTCAGTTTGAAGTTTTTCAGCCTTCCAAAATAGTGTGAATTTGGTCTGCAAAACCAAAAAAGGAGTGCTTGTAGTTAAGCATTCTCAGGGAAGGTTTCTCCGCTTCCACTTAGCACCAAGGTGAAATAAAGGCAATTTTCTCTGTAGTCCCCAGGTTTGAAGGAGAGAGGTTAGGTAGAGGAGTGGCCGATTTATTTCTATTTCATCCTTAAGTGTGGGCATGGCCTTTGGGGTCCTGGCCTTATGGAGAAGTTTCTGGGTAGATGCCATAAGCTCAGGAGCCCTCACAAGCCAATGCTCAGGTTCACCAGGTAAGAAACATGCCCTCACTGTATTGTCATATTGCATATTAATTAGCACATCAATAATGTACAGGGAAGGTAGATTAAATATTTTTTATCTAAGAAAAAAAAAAACATGTCCTCAAGGTGAAAGCCAACTACTAAGCTTCCTACTTTCACTTATTATTACTAGAGGCCCAGTGCACGAAATTCATGCACAGGAGGGGGGGGGTGTCCCCTAAGCCCAGCCTGCACCCTCTCCAATCTGGGACCACTCAGGGGGACGTCCAACTGCTGGTTTAGGCCCGATCCCCAGGACATCCCTCTCACAATCCAGGACGGCTGGCTCCTAACTGCTCACCTGCGTGCCTGCCTGATCGCCCCTAATTGCCCCCCTCCCGATGGCCTGGTTGCCCACAACTGCCCCCCCACTGGCCTGGTCACCCTTCACTGCCCCCCTGATGGCCTGGTTGCCCCCAACTGCCATCCCCTGCCAGCCTGTTCGCCCCCAACTGCCCCCCCTACCGGCCTGGTCGCCCCACGCAGCCTGCTGTTTGGTCATTACTGTTACTGTGATGGTGTCCTGGACAATTTGCATATTCCTCTATTATTAGTATAGATTATTAGCCTGAATATTTCTTGTGTTTGCCAGTTCATAGACGCATTAAACTTTTAAAATATATATTTTGTCTAATATTTTTAGTTGTTTTCAGCAAGAAGGTTAGCCTGAGTCCCTAGGCCACCATGTTGCAAGAAAACCCAATGGGCAGTTTCAGTCCTGTGTGACTTGATTTTTCTGCTGCATTTGGCCCTGTTGACCGCTCCTTCCCCCTGTTCTGTTTTTTTTTTTTTTCTTTTCTACTACTCTGATGCTCCTTTTGGTCTCCTTCACAGGCTTGCCCCTCTTCCTCTCCCTGTTCCTTAAATGCGGGTTCTCCAGGCTTTGTCCTCTGCTTCTCCTCTTCTTCATCAATATCTCACTACTCCTTTGGCTTTGAGCTGTGATGCCCAGATCTCTCTTGCCCAGACTTTTCTGAGTTCCCAACCCTCATATCCAGCTGCCACCAGGTTCCTTGCCCTCTGAAGGTGTCCTAGACACCTCAAATTGAACTCATGACCTCCCCCTCCCACCTTACTCCCATCACATGCTAAAAATACTACATCCCCTAAGTTCCTTACCAGCCTCCCAAGCGAGAGCCTTGGAAACTCTCCCTTTCATCAAACCCTCACAACCAATCCATCACCAAGTCCGGTTTATTGAGTCTCACATCTCTTTCCTTCCACACTGCTTCTGCTCTAGATCAAGACCAGTATTTGCTTCCTGAACA